TTCGTTTTTTAGAAGGGACTCATTTTTACCATATCTAGATATCAAATTTAATTTTTTCTTTTTGGGGGGTTGATTATTGATATGAAGAGAGTGTGTGCCCAAAATTTGGGGTCATTCAAATACCACAAACATAGTTTTCTAGAAGTGTCGTTGCATTATACTATAATACACTCATTGCATTAGTTCATTGCTCATATTTATTAGTCTTGCATGTGATTTTTCTTAAAATTTCCTGATACTTACTGCATCGTGATGCAGTATAAAATTACTGGCAACCAATATCAAAAAAATATAAAAGGGATTTTATACAATGATACCATTTACCTTTGGTACAAGGAGGTCACAATTACTTGGAACTATGTGATGCAAAATCTGATAATTTGTTCTGTCACAAAGTTCGAGTAAATTTTTGCTTGGTCAATGAAATAAATGTAGCCACCCAATTTCACATCCAATGGTCAAGATTAATTGTGACCAACCATGTGCCAAAAATAAATAGTCTCATTACAGAAAGGAACAAACATGTATATCCGAGTATTCCGGTATTCCGACATAGGCCCTCTTTCATTAACAAAAATCGATCTCCATGCAGTTGACATAGTATCTAATTTTATAAATTCAATTTCTAATGCCCCACTAGCCATAAGATTACTTTCCTAGAGATAAAGTTGAGAAAACGAACTCCCTTATGTAAGGGATAACAGTGTACCCCTTTTAATGTTATAATGCTCTTTCAGAGATAACTATTTACTGGTATTTGATGTAAAAGATAAAAGGTTGCGGTTTGTATTGAGCCGAGGCTCTAAACAATTAAATTAGAGCTCATTTCAAAAATTTTATGTCCTATTATTATCACTTGATATTATTTTTCCTAAAGATTATGAAGAGCATCTCTCCTCATCCGGTCTGGCAATAACAACACCAAAGAAGAAGAGGTGATAAGCTCCATACACATTGTAAATACATTGTGGTTAAATAAAAAACGAAACTTGTATTATATAAATTTACCCTTTCGCTAAAAAAACCTACTTACGACGATTTATTCAATTTAAAATTGTTGGTACGACCTAATTATCACTAGATGATTAATTTCAAAAGTTAAAATTTGAAACTGGGTTTTTTAATACTTCGATCTGACATTCTGAAAATTGGACGGTCTCAGATAAAAAAAATTTCTTGTGCGAGGGTGTAATTGGAAATTTTTTTTTTTATTGATGTTAATCTATCCCCAAAATTTGGGTTAGCCAAAAATTTTGATGGTGTGGCACCGGCTACCCAAGGCCACTATGCCTTGAGCCCATTCCTTGAAGACCGTGCAACACTTCTCATTAACAAACACGAGCCTGAAGCTCAGTTATAAAACACGGCCCTCCTGCTTTAAAGTCTTCTATTGTAATTATTGAAAATATGGTGTGAACCACCTGGAGAGCAAGCGGACCCATGAGAAGATGAATGACTCAATCCTCCCATTGTCTCTCCATCATCATTCACAAGTAATTGGACCCTGATAATCACTTAGACACCTACACTCACATTCCCTATAGTCCCATGCACCATGTCATAGTTTCCCTTTTGTTAATGCAATCATTGATTGTTAAGGTCTCTCTCAACATGGATTTATATTCGTGTCTTCAATTGATAGAGAGAGGGAAGGGGTGGCTCATACTTCTGGCTTAAGCATGGTATGGAGCAGGGCTCAAGCTGCGAAGAAACTGTTGATGGTATCAATTGTGTCTGGTGTTAGGGTCTTAGCAGAAAACGTAAATGGAGAGCGCGTCATGTGCTGCACCTCTATTGAGTGGGTGAAGGATCAGCTGATGTTGCACCTCCAAGCCAAACGGACGGTTGAGATCCAAGCTCTTATGTGAGAAAAGTATTTGATTCAGCAATAAATGGATGTGATGATGGATTGAGTGGAAATAAAAGGCCTGGATCTTTCTGGCATGTTTTTTATGGCTCGGATTCAAGTTTAGACTCTCATTTTCTTTTCTTTCTTTCTTTTTTCCAATTATGAACCAAGTGTATTTGAGTTTGCAGCCCTGAACATTATGGCATTAATGACGGGCCTTAATAGCTAAATAAGTTCGGATTTTCCATCATTACATTCTCTGAGTTTTTACAAGTCCTCTCTGTTTTCAGGCTCTCCTCCGCTCGGAAGTGGGAGATGCAGATGTCGGAGGAGTTCAATATTTTTATTCTTAATTTTTAAAGGAATTAATTATTATTATTTTATTTTTCATTGTTGGTTGTATACTTACAAGAAATTTTTGAAAATTTCCTTGTTAACATGTTTTTTTTATTTCACATTTTTATTTAACAAGTTTATTGAATTTCATATATGAGTTAATAGTGGATTTGTCTTTTTCTTTATAGACATAGCCTAAAAAGATGAGCCACGTCAAATCTTAGTGACAGTAAGTTATCTGCTTTATTAAAATGTTTCTCCCATAGACATAGCCTAAAAAGATGAGCCACGTAAAATCTTAGTGACAGTAAGTTATCTGCTTTATTAAAATGTTTCTCCCATACGTGCATACACATCGGCTTTGGAATACCACCCATGCACACACATCGTCTTTGGCATATATCTGTGTTCCACTGCGTGCATCCATATTTATGCGAAAGGGCTCTAATTGTGTGAGCCCAACACAAATCCTCTTTGGATCATCCTTAAATTCCTTTTCTTCTCCAAATCATCTTTGAATTCTTTTCCTTGACCAACGACTAAGTCGAAAAATAATAACAAATCAACAAATAAAAAAGCCTTCCAACAAACCATTTTGTCCAAAACTTGGAAGATAAATTTCAGG